TATCCTGCCTGCCTGGGTCGTAACACAAAGACATGTGCCAGGCACCCCGTCCTGAATCCTTAGTATCGCTGCGTAGGACAAACCCACTTCATCAAACAGGTGGACGAAAGAGTCTGCTACCTGGCCAATAGAGGGATGGTATGGATCAAACTCCCTCCGCTACACCAATCAGTGTATGCTCGCAACCTAGAAATGTTGGCCGCGTTAGTGGAATCCCTGTTCACCCTGGCCAGGACGTTGGTAGCCTGCTCAGATAAAGCTTTCGTATGTGTGGGTCTACTGAGAGCCTCTATGCATGTAAGTGATACCCGCTGGGCTCGTTGGCAGTGCGTTGGGACAGCAGGTTCGATAAGCCTGGAAGCACTACTGGTGTTTCGACTAGCATTTCCAACAGAAGTGGAAACTAGGCTTTGGTTGGCCAATTGGGTGCGACCAATGACAATATGCAGGTGTGCACCTGTCAAAGTTTTCTCCGGTGCCCGGTGAAATAGGGGGAAGGGAGGAAAGGCGTACACACTAAGTGGGTCCATGAGGTTAGCAAAGCGACCCTGGCCCAGGCTCCTGGAGTTTGCTGGAGTGTTATGTACGTCAGGAGTTTGGTGATCCGGGGTGCGGCAAAACTGGTCCATCTTTCGACCGTCCCACAGCTGAAACAGTATGGAGGCTACCCACTGGGGTATCAGCCACTCCGTATTCTGGAGACGGAGCCGCCCTGAAAAAGCATCTGCCAGACTGTTCCTCACCCCTGGAAGGTGGTGTGCGGTTAGCTCCACATTGGATTCCAGGCACCAAAGGAGAATTTGCTCATCATTTGGCCAGTGTGGTAGTGTACTGCTTTCAGTTCAAGTCGGTTGATATGGTGGTCCCGAAACTAATGCAGGCCATATCCTTGGGCTTGTTCGTCCAATAGATGCACTTCCCAACCTTGACGACCACCAGGGCAGGGCTTCCTTCACTTGGTCCGAGATTAAAACCCGCCTATCTAGTTTCCATAGGAGAGCTCAGCGTTGTAACAACAAGTGTTGTACCGGGCGGCTGCGTAGTGCGGCCTAGGGAACCACCCTTCGAACCGAGGTCATCATTCCGATGATCCGCATTAGTTCTTGGAGGGAAACTGAGGGAACGCTGACTAGGCATTTGGCTAGGCTGCTTAGCGCTAAGCAACACGCTTAAAATAGCGATACCAAGCCTACCTCTGTGTCAAACTCCATGCCCAGGAACACCAACTGTGCATTGGGTCAAGATGGGACTTGTCGATTTACTAAAGAGCCCATCTGGTAAAGTAAATCCTGTGTTAGCCTGACGGGTTTGGCTAATAACCCCTTGCCCGGGTTGTGTAGTAACCAGTCGTCTAGGTACGGATTGAGGTGTACCGACATTTAGCGAAGTAGCAGCACTACCTGTTTCGGGGGGCACCTGAAATTCGAATACTTGGCCCAGCTGAGCGATTCAAAGGAGATGGCAACTTGCTGAGTGCATCAGTATGTGCAGGTAGGTCCCCCTTAAGTCTAGTGGGGCTAGCCAATCGAAACAGTGGATGGAGAAAAGAGCGCTGAATGGCGTATCCATGCAGAACCGATCGAGGAGCACATACTGATTCAGTCTGCCTAGGTCCGGAACTGGCCGCCATCTGTAGATTTGGTACTATGAACACATTTGGGTAGAAGCCTGGACTTAATGCCGGCTGATCTACCCTGTGTATGGCCCCCTTTTCCAGCAAACTGTTACTTCCTGCCTGATTGTTTCCGCTTGCGAGAGTACCCTGGCAGTGCCCTATAGGGGAGACACTGACGGGGGAGATGGAGATTTCAGCAGTATCCCTTAACAGAATGTCACCAAGGATCGGTCACCCGCTGACTCCAAGCTGGACTACACCTGCGCAATCTGTGTACAACAGGGATATGTGGTCATGGGTTCCGCAGTTGCGCGGTGTGGGTGCTCTCATCTCCCATAAGGTGAGTTTCCCCAAGGTCTGAAATAGTCACTAAGTTGTGACTCACCAAACACATGCCTGTCCCCCTGGTTGCAGAGGTAAGCGTCAAACCCCCGGATGGATGACCACCCGAGGTGGGTGAGGAGTCACCACCTGGCCCTTTCCTCCCTGGGGGCGCGCCGCTACTCTTCACTCCCATGGAAGGGTATGAGCACTTGCCTCCTGGCTGATACTGGCTAGCGGACGACACCCTAGGACGTTGTCTTCTGTGCTTGGGGTGCCCGCCGCTTACCCTTGGCAGGGCCAACTGGCTAGTGGGTTCGATCTCAACCCTCTGGTTCATTGCACTCCAAAGCTCCGAGACTGTACCCGCCATTCCCCGAA